TTTTTTTTTTTTTTTTTTTCCCTAGAAACTGTCCCAAGAAACTTCCAGGAGCTCTTCTCTGTGTTAAATGTGTTCACAGGCCCTGGCAGGTTCACAACTCGGACATGATGCAACCAGTGTAAAGTATAGATTAGAAAAGAAATAAATTAAATACCTTTGACACTTAGGCTTCTTGTCTTATTCTGCCTTTCATGATGTGTCAAAATGTTTTCATGGCATCATCATCTGTAATTAAAGGCTGACTCTGAAATACAAATACATTTAATTTTCACAATTAAAAAAGTGTTGAGACAAAAGTTATGCTCTTGTCAGCTGACTTTTTAAATGGTGACACAAGTATTGGATAGGATTCCCAGGATTCTTCTGGCACTAAAGAGTCACTTTAAAGTTTCCAACACCAGTCCGTGAGAATATACAGCACCTCAAACACCACCTCATAGTGGAATTTGGCATCTCATGTTACAGTAAGTGTTAATCATCCTATCCAGAGTCTTCTACTTCAAGATTTGGATGTAGTGAGATTCAGATGTAGTGTGTGTAATTTTCAAATACTTACATCTGCTAATGTCTTGACCTGCAAGTGATTCTTATTATTAATTTTCTAATTGCATATTGCTAGTATTAATTTCCTAAATTGAAAAAAATGTCTGAGAAGTCAGCTGTCTTCCTGTAAATAAGGAAAAAATATTATTTTTCTGTTGTGGAAAATTGCTTAACTTCTTCACTTCAATCTTTACAATAACTTGAATTTTTTGGTGATATTTTTAAAATGCTGTGACTTTTCAAAGTATTTAATCTTCTGACCACACATAATTTTAGTTTGTAAGGAGATACAAACTTTAAAAGTAGGATGTATTTTCAGCTCCAGAGGTTTGACAGACTGCTCCATGTCAAACTTTTACTGTCAATTTACAATATAGAGTAAGTGTTGATTTAACTGCTTATTGATGTAGCACTTGCAAGGATGAAGCCATCTGTCCCAAGATTCTGCATACACCTTTGAAAGCAAGCATTTTGCCTACAGTTAATAGTTTTCCTGAAGGTATTTTATCACTCCCTTGAATAAAAATCCTGGCATATACTTTGGTTTGTCTAAAATAACTAGATAGATAACTGCCAATCACAAGAAATGAACATGGAAAATTTCTGTTCTGGCAAAATTCTCTGCAGTTTAGTATGTGCATAAGGTTGTAACTAGACTCAAAACATTCCCTGTCATAAAGATACAGTGAATGACAGCAACAACCAAGGGAGGGGGAAAGAGGGAAGCTGACTTACAAAGTTACAATAATGCACAGAGAACTGGAGGATGCACTGGACTACATGTACTTAATTCTAATTGCTTGTGATCCAAGAAGGTAGTAAGGTTTTGTGGAAGTATATTTGGAAGTCTGTTAGAAACATGAGTTGTGGGTGGCTGTGTAAAATGTTATGAAAAATGAAGATTAGCATGATTATGGGAAGGGACTGAAAAAATAATAAATGATGGTGTACTGAGGAGGGAGAGAGAAATACTTGCAAGAAAGAGTCTGAGAGTGAGAAGGCAAAGAAGGACAGCAAAAATTATATTTAATAGATAAAATCACGCACTGCTGATAACAGACCTGTCTATCTGTGAGTGTGCGTTGGAGTAGTGGCTTGTGTGATGAACACGAAGGTGGCACGCCACTCCCCGAGGTCTTGCCTGCTGGTACTGGTTGGCAGCAGAGATCCAAGGGAAGAAATTTCCTGCTATACTACAGCTCCGCGCAAGATGGCAGTACTGCACTGGCAGCCACTGACTTTTATTTTGTTTTTTGTGTTTTTTTAATTAGGCTTCATTGGAGGAAAGAGTGATTGATGGGTCTCTCACTGGTAAATTTGAGAGAATGTAATTTTCCTTCAAAGCAGGTTACCAAAGATGTCATCCACCCCCACCCACTGAGCCCTTGGCAGCCAAGCAAACCATTTTGATCCAAATTTATTTTCTTGAGCAGAAAGAGTGCACTAGACCCGGTATTGCAGAAGTCTGGTTTCTCTGGAAGGGTTAATATAATGGGGCAGCAGGATTCAAAAATGTAAGAGTAGAGAAAGAGGGGGGGGGGGCGGGAGGAAACTGTGGCTGATTGCTCAGGAAACAGGGCTAGCTTCTGAAGAAAGGATTAAGGATTTGAGAAGTAGCAGAGAGAATGAAGGCTAATTTCACACAGGGCATAAAAAGATACTGTGGTTTATGCATGTAGAGGGGAGGCATGTTTGAGTTACACCAGGCTGCAGACACTGGGGAGGAGCCCATCTGCAACAGGGGCTGGCTGCAGCTCTTGCCTCTCCTTGCTGACAACTGCTTGCTGCTCCAGACACCAGCTGAACAGTATGGTTTCACTGATACTGTGTGAATATTCATGGCACCGAACTGGGGGACATTGCCAGTCTTGTTCCAGTTCCCACACCTCCAGCCACATTGCTGCTCTTCATTTGAGTGGCGGTCACAGGAAATCAGAAACACTTCTGAAGAGCCACAATCAAATCCAGAATCTGTCTTGGCTGGCTGACACCTGTCTTACCCCTCCATCAGGATCTTATTTGTTTGAAACAAATAATGAAAAACAAGAGCTGGGAGAAGTGATGCTGCCAAGTCTGCTTCAGTGCAGTGCCTTATTCGTGATGTGCTGGCACATCATCAGCTGGTAACCATTGCCCTGTGGAGTACAGCCACGTAAAACCTAGGCTTAAGCACAGGCTCTTGTTCCAGTACTCTAGGCTATGGCCTGTTGAACACCAATCTGTCAGGTCATGATAAGGAGTTCAGTGATAAAAATCAGACGACTTCACATATTGCATGGTGCTTTTGGGTTGCTGGCAAAGGCAGGCAGTGTTCCATTAGTCACGAAAGCTATAGGGATTGCTGCCATTGCAGCAGACCCACAGACAGTCATAAAGACATTTTGTAGTAGTGCAAAACTGACAGCTATTAGCTAAGTAGTCACATCTCCTTCATTCTTGTCATGTTTTTAAAAACATTTACATTATAAGATGTATTTTCTCCACAAATAGTTGATAAAAAATAATTAAATCTTAGATATTTTGGTTGTGATACTTAACCAAAAAAATAACCTAAAATGGAAATAACTAACTTTTGCAAATGCAGATGTTTATTCAATGTTAAATGTGATTTTTACATGACAAGAAAGAAAAGGGAACATAGAAGAACAACCAGAAGAAACATTTGAAAGAAAGTAAGCATTCTTTCTCTTATCTTTATATATAGTGCACTTGAGCAAATGTTTTGCCAGTTATCAGGCATAACATAAAGGACACAGCCAGCATAAAGATGAACCAATAACCAAATTGTATTTGATACAAAAAGATCAGTACATGAGTGAGCGCTGGGGGTGCAAACAAGTCAGTCGGATTATACATAACTGACATCAATCCCACTGACCCCAACAACGACACCACATGACCAACAATGGGTGGAATAAATGGTGACATGCAGTCTCCCATAGAAGGGATGGGAGACAACCGAGTCAACAAGCCAAACACATAAGACCAAGGAAGCCACACACTGAATCTCTACACAGCCCGTGTTTACAAAAGCCAGACCTGACTGGAGCCCAGTTCCAGGGAGGCAGGAGGTCCTTCCCCAACAGGGAACTCTGCACAGGGCATCCACCTCACAGACAGACACTGCCCCTGCCTGCAAGTGGTCCCAGCTTTTATCCCCAAGTGGGACACCTGACCTTTGCTCACTTAATGTGGGACACGTGGGGCTCATTTACCCAATGGCTCTCCCTGCCAGGCCGGCCGCACCCTGGAGGGAAGCCTAAAGGCAAACTCACCCCCTCTTTGTGAAGGGCTGTGGGAATCACCCCTATGTCAACCTTAATTTGGGGCTTGGGGTTGAAACCCCAGCATTTCAGTGAATCAGTTTGAATGTTACCATAATGATTTGGGTGTAAAACAATTCATTACCCACTTCAGTTTCATAATTCAGATTAAGAAGGAAGCGAATCATGTTAGAGATGAGTATTTGGAAAGGAGGTTACATCTGTATCAGTCTGCCTGACTGATTCCATTGAACTGGAAAGATTGTCTAAGAAATTAAATTCCAAAATCCATCAATATTTTCCAAAATGGAACAGCAAGTGCTTATTTAATACCTTGTATCTTTAAAGCTACTGGATAAAAATAGTTAAATAGTTTGAAAGAGATAAAAATCAATGCCCTAAATTCATGGTCTTTAGCTAACTGATTTCCCTGTTTTACTATAGCTCATTTATTTGAGTACACTAGGAGTGTACTGACTGTAAACATGAATCACTGTATGACTTTTTAAACTCTGTTCTTGTGACAATCACTCTATTTCTTTTGGGAATGAGCATTCAGCAAAAAAGTTCAGGTTTCTACTATCTTATGTCAATGACAAAATTATTACATCCTTGAAGACTTTTGTTTTTTGTTTTCCTCTTACTACTCAACTTCTGAAAAAAAGAAGTGCATGAATATATGTAGATATGTGCGCTTTGAAAACCCAAGCACATACACAGAGCAAGTATAAACCTTTAGCTTTGATACAGCATTTTTTGTTTGCAAGAAGGGAAGTCCCAGTGTAACCTAATCCTCCTAATTAGCTGAAGCATTTAGCTTACTAAAGTTGCTCTTAAACTAGAATCTTCCTTTTCATTCTGGGAATGTTTTTGTAGTCATTTATTGTTCTTATCATAAGGAGAATTGTCAAACTGGTTTGTGACTATTTTGTCTGGTCTTGTAACTATTTTGTAGCTTTATTTTTATGTACACTGCCTAAATGTACAAGTAAATGTTCTACTTACAAATGTCATGTTTATTACTAAACAATTTAAAGCTTATCAAAATATGAGCTGAATTACTTGTAGTGGTTACCTTCATGTCTGGCACCAGTTCCCATGACCAG